CTTAAGAAAACTCAAGAAAAAAACACTTACCTATAAGACAGGTACATATATACCTGTATGTATTAACATTATTTACCTGTATATCATGTACATAATTTAATGTGGGTGCTTGTCTAATCGATTGGTATAATATGTGAGTCTTTACTTTTTATTGATTAAATTGTATTTTATCTATATACTAGCCTCTCTGCACGCGCTTCCGCGCCTGCGAGAGGTTTTTTAAAATTTATTTTAGAATAAAAAAAGATAATGGGTAGTTGTGTTCCATAAAAATAGGATCCATTATCTAATTTTTCTTTTATTTTTAATTTTTTTAATATGAAAAAGTGTGGATTTACCATATTATCCTCATTTAATTAATAATTTCAATTCTTAATGATGGACCTAGATCTAAGAACCCCAAAAAACAATGAATACTGAATTATGATATCATGTGAATTTGACCCAATTAAGTTTAGACCACGATAAATTAACTAATAAGATGGGAAGAACAACGACTCCAGGTATACAGCACAAAGTATGAACATATTAACAGTCACAGCAATTACTAACTAGGATACCTGGGAATCGGTGATCTTGAAAACACGCTTCCAAGGTAAGAGGAAAGACGAAGCATCTCCGAACACAAGAGTTGAAACATATATCAGCTTCTGAAATGCCTGCACTGGAGACTCACTAACAATGGTCAAAGCCCTGAACCTCAATTATTCAAAAAAGGTGCAACAAGCTCAAAGTTTCGAGCAGAAAAGACCTACCCGACGCTGCTCTAGATCACCCTCACGGTCAGTCTCAAGCCTCTGTCTGAAAATTCGCCTACCAATCTGAAACCAAAAATGGCTAACAAGCTTGAGGTGGAGAAAGAAGTAGATACATTTGCTTTCACAAACAGATAAGTAAATGAAGACCCACCTCCATATGCATTGAAGCTGCTTCAGGGTCATCAATGCCCAGAGAGTTTTTGAAGCTCACGATTGTCTCAACTTCGTCACCTTTAAGTTCTTCGGCTCCAGGAGGAAGAACAGAAGTGACAAAACGACAGTACAAATCACAGAGCTCGGCATTAAACGCCTCGTCTTGCTTGCTCACACCATATCTGCAAAATTAACAAATTTTAAAATTGAATTCAATTAAACTCACGATAAATTGAAAAACCCCGTTGAGAATTTTGCTACTTGATTCTCACTTTCTTGCAATGTCTTCTATGTCCTCCTTCTTGACAGCTTTGGGATCGTCGACCCCAGCAACGTAATTGTGCAAATCGATGGCGGCGACTTCAGGAGCACAAGAGTTCAAAGCGTAAGCGGCAGCCCCACTGGCAGCTCCGAGCACTGCGGCACCGCCAAACGCTGCGTTTTGCGACTTGCTTAACCGGAGACCCAACCCGTAACCCGCAGCCACAGCTCCGGCGATGACAATTGCCGAGGTCGCCAAACGGAGCGGCGGCGACAGCTTCTCGACGACGGGCTGGATGCCCGTGAGCTCTCTCTTGCCTCCGAATACATCGGGAGGCGGCGTTGACCTGGCGCCGGTTGATTGGTCCGAGGGGGTGGCTGAGTTTCGGGGAAATGAGACCCTGAAACGGCGTCGTCTGGTCTGTCCGGAGGTTGCGGCTGGGAGAGAGATGGGATTGAGGAACGGCGAGTGGAGAACGGAACGCTGCGGTGTGAGGGTGGAGGGATTCATTGGTCCCACTGTGATGGGGTAAAGGGGGACGACGTCGTTTACGGAGGGTGTGAGAGTGGAGTGTGGATTTTCTAGGGTTTGGGATCGGAGGGTTATATAGGGTTTAACGGCAACCAGTGATGGAAGAGGATAACAGGGCGAAAGTGAAGATAGAGAGCTAAGGAAGAAGACAAAATGAAACAAATGATAGCTTTGAACCGTGATCTACAACGTTAGGCTGTTTTAGGGTACCATGGGCTTTTAGCTATGGACTTGATGCTAATTCTGAATGGGCTAAAAGTGTTGGTTATGTTGAGGGCTTTTTCTGAAATGGGCAAAATCCCACCCTTCCGAATTGGTCGAATCGTTTAAACAGGCCAAACCAAAATAAACCAAGTGCTTTTGTTCGAACTTCAAATCGGACTAAAATAATTGTGATGGTTTTGAACAAGTTTGGAAGTCATGTTTTTTGGTTCGAGACTTGAATTTCGTGTTTGGAAGCTAAAATCAATTTTTTAAATACTAAAATAGGTTTTACAATATTTTTGGGTACTTAAAAGAATTTTCCAGAATTTTTAAATAATATAAATATTTTAAAAATATTTTTGGAAATTAAAAATAGTTTTTGAAGTCCATAAAAATATTAAAAGAATTAAATACTATTTATTAAGTAATTTCTGAAATTAATTAAAATATTTAAATAATAATTAAAGTAATTAAATAATGCTAAGATATTACTTAATTACAAATATTAAACTAAACAAACTAATCTATACGAAAATATTTTTTCAAAAATCCACAAAATAATTTAAAATAATTAATTACTATATATTGCATAATTTATTAAATTAATTAAAAGATTTAAATACTAATTACTAACTAAATAAATAATAATTAAAATATAATTAGTAATTAAAGTAATTAAATAAGGCTAAGATATTTTTTAATTACAAATATTAAACTTTAAAAACTAATTTTATTAAAAAATAAAACATAAAATATCAATATTCGAATATATGCGCGGCTAACTATTTAAATATATTACTCTTTAAAATAGTGTTGAGGCCCAAAAAATCCATGGTTGGGCACAAATAAATTCCCGACCCAGTGCGACACCTTATTAAGAAAAGACCCGGTTCGGAGCACGCGAAATTCGCCATACACGCTTGCACGAGCCACGACCACATGTCATGCCAAATAAGTATGCAATCTGCCATGCTATAGCTTATAAAATGCATTGGCTCTATGAGCCCATGTTAATTATCCCATCGAGCATCATATCCTTTTTTAAAGGCAATAAAATTCGAGCACGCCAATCGACATGCCATGCCAAGCGAAAAATCATTATTTTACACCTAACCACACTACAAGCTTAAGTGGGCTCAAGCCACGCAAAATGCCTGAGGCTTGGTGAGTGGGTTGTGGTATGGATGGTAATGAGCTTTCATGAGGCCTATTGATGAGCTAAGAAATGGAAGTTTTGAGCCGCTTGGGAGCCCCAAAACTCAAGCCCATTTCTTGAGCTCAAATATGTGAGCAAGCATAAAAGAGAGAGAGAAGGGAGCCAAATACCCTAGGAAATAAGCTCATCACCATAATAAGATAGCCCATCATTTAAGGAAATTAGCCCATTCTCTTAATGGGCTAACCTATCACATTAGAAAAAACCCAAGCAGACAAGAAAATATCTATAGTCTCCAGCACTTAGCTGGAAACGTGAACCACGATGAAAGCCAAAGTGTATGTCGGTGAGCTGCTGGGAGGCTCCAGCACATGGGCATAGCAAACTTCAAAGAAGAACATGCAAAGATCCAGAGGATAATGGCGCGCACAGGTTGCTAGAAGGATGGGCACTCTTCAAACCAATGCCCTTACCAATTTCTTTCTCCTATCAGCTCCTACCATTGAAGAGGGAAGGAAAGAAGGTGCGGAGGTGTTCAAAAATAAGAGTTCAACGCTGGAGCCGCTGCATGAAGGCCTTGGAGCTCCCAAAAACCTTGTCATAGTGTGTTTGGACTGAGGAAAATTGCATAAAAGATGATGAATCGAAAGGAGAGAAGAAAAAGGGAAGGGGAGACTTGGCAAAATTGGAGAAAAGCCATTAGGTTTTCTTGGGAAGGAGGAGCTCCCAGTGGCTATAAAAGGGGGTGTCTCCTACCTATTAAAAAACAACTCAATCGAAGGCAAGCAAACCAGACCTAGAGAGCAAGCATCATCTCTCACCTCTGGAACCCTTCAATTTCGAGCCACACCTCTCCATCTCCTCCAATTTTCTCTTTTGGCAAGCTATTTCAGATCTTGACAGACTTTTCATCAAGCTGCTGGAAATTACTCAAACAACCCATCGTTCCTCCTCATCTCTCTCCCCCCTTAGCCAATCTTCTTAGAATCACTTTCCTTTCCTTAGAACCCCTGTTTCTCGTAGGAATTCACAGCCCTCTCTATGTTTATGCTAAACTCATGATGGTTTTGCTCACATGCCACAAGCTTCTCATGCCAAGTTAAAAATCTATCTGTAAGCAGATGTTGTTTTTGTTGGTGAAGGTAACCGGGGTGTTTCATAAGGCTTCACTGTCCTTTCGAAGCATTCTTGGGGCTTGATCTTTGAACTCAGACACAGGGGGTAATTTTACCCGTTTTCGCTCCTTACGGCAGCCTAGCCCATTCGTCAGGCTGCTGGAACAAAAGACCCCCAACATATAGCAACAAATCGACAAACCCAACTAACTTGGATTAGGTCTGGTTATGTCATACATTAATATCAAAACCCTAATCATAAAATATTACGTCGAGTTACATGAGTATCCAAGCCTAATCAAGTCATAAGTGCCCTAGAGTCAGCTTATGGTTGTAATTTGAAAAAAGTTAAAAGTCTTTTTGTGTAAATAAGCTTTGGGTGTGTTTCTAAAGTCCATTTCATATATAATTTGGGCTCCTATATTGGGTATAATAATAAATCACCTTAAAATAAATAATATATAACTCATGTTTTTAATACAAATGATAATTTAAACAACAAAGGGAGGGATGTTTTTCTCTCGCACACTACTAAGGTGCTATAAGGGTTTGAACCCAACACTATTAGCTTGCAAGTCAATGTCATTTTCTATTGAGCTAGACCTCATTGGCATATCTAACTCATTCTATTAATGCAACCCAAACATGTATAAGTTAGGTTAATTTTTATTTTATTTTTTTAAAAGTTAGCTAAAGCCTTTTTTATTAGGTTAGGCCCGACTGACATAAGTTTAATTCCAGACCAAAAAAACATAAGTTTAATTGACGAGAACAAAATAAATAAATAAACTCAACTTTAGCACAAAATTTTGCAGGTCCCAAAAAATTAGCACAAAATTCTGTACACTCACTAGTCACAACTAGTAGGAAGCTGTGGCTGCAGCCCTGCCTCCCTGCTCTCCAAATTTCAAACATGGCCATCTCTTCTCTGCGACTCCCGTTCTCGCTGTGGCTTCCAAGACTCCCAATTCAGAGCTTCCGTTTCTCAAAACCAATTTTACCCCTAAGATTGAACCTTATTTACTGCTCCTCCTCTATCTCCTCTACTGCTCAACAAACCTCAACCGACCTTGACAAATGGCAATCCGTTCGAAAGAAGAAAGTGGTTCTCCGGGTCGGGTACGTCGGCTCCGATTACCGAGGTCCGTTTCAAATCTCACAATTTCTATTGTTAATTTATTACATTAAAGTTCGATACTTTCATTGTGTTTTGCCTTTTTATATGCAAAGTTCAATATTTTGTAGTTCTCTTATGTATTTGCTTTCAGGCTTGCAAATGCAACGAGACGAACATTCATTATCTAGTAAGTTTCTTCATCCTTGCCCGTGGAAAATTTTCTTTTATCTTGAAAATAACGATATTTATTTATTTATTTTTATAAATTACTGATAGAGCAGACCACAAATTTTGGATGAACTAGTTATGTTAAAAGACCATGCCATAAGAAATTAAACATTGAGTCATTGACATGTAACAGACATATTTGAATCAGCTTAGCATGCGTGGATGGGATGTAGCTAAAAAGCATATTACAATTTTGAAATGTAGCTATTGAAAAAGAACTGGAAACGGCCATATTCAATGCCGGTGGTATCCGCGATAGTAATCTCGGGAACCTTAACAAGATTGCGTGGGCCAGAAGTAGCCGAACAGATAAAGGAGTAATGAAACTGACTTATAACTGATTTCTGTTTGTTTGTTGCAACCTTATTGTTTGCTGCTGCATTCTATGAGGATGTTGGTTTTTATATTTGTTGTGATGAAATTTATATTGTAGGTTCACTCATTAGCGACAATGATATCATTTAAAATGGAAATCCCGGAGAAAGCATGGGACGGAGACCCTTATGGCATTGCCCTTGCGAATCACATTAACTATTATCTTCCTCATAATATCAAAGTTTTTAGCATTTTGCCTGCGCAGAGGTGAGATAATTTGTTATTCAGCTTTCTAGTATAAATTATAGAATACCATCAATAGGTATGAAATGAGTGAGAGATTTTGGTATTTAGACAGTGGAGTCACGACATGCTTTTCCTTGTTAGTGTGATAGTTGCAATTTCCAGATATTAGTTTAACCTAGATTTTCCTGAGATATCCCTTCTTGTTGTAATAACATGCACTTGCCTTTTCTCTACAAGTTTATTTATGGTAGTCAATTTTATTTCTTGTTTTTTTAGGAGCTTTGATCCTAGAAAGGAGTGTAATCTCCGCATGTATTCATACCTCCTTCCTGCTGATGTTATTGGAATCAAAAGCCACTTCAGCGCAGCAGAAATTGATTATCACATCTCAGACTTCAATAGTATACTAAATTGTTTCGAGGTGTAGTGTTTTTGTCTTCAAATGCATTTCCTTTATACCATTGTGATTCCTTCCAGCACCTAATTTAGTCGCTGTCTTGAGAAAAAAATTCTTGAGTTGAACAGTCTGTGTCCGTCAATGCACTCTGCAGGGAGAACATCCTTTTCATAATTATACCATACGATCTAAATACAGGAGGAAGCTTCCTGTAAAAAAATCACGTAGACATGGAAGTGTGTCAATAACAGGGAGATCAACTGGAGAGGCATCAGCCTCTGAGTCTGAGGAAAGTGATAGGGATGAAAATTTTGATGGAACAAATGCACCAGAAACAGATGCCGAGGTACTGAACCAAAATTCTTCACCGTCTAGCAATAGTGAGGGCAACTTACGCAATGCTTGCGAGAAGCAGGGAGATGGTGGTGGCAACGATCAAAGTGCTGGTTCGGTCATCCGTGCAAGATGGTTATATGAACCTGATGAAAGAGATAGAATAAGTGCTTCTCATTTCAGAAAGATTTTTCGCTGTTCTTGTGGGAAGCTAGAGAAATCGCTTGGACATGATTATGTTGAGCTTTCCATTTCGGGAGAGTCTTTCATGTTACATCAAGTAAGTCATTTTAGTGTGACCCTGAAAATTCTTTAACAAATTCATACACATGGTACAACAACCTTTCTAGTTCCTCACATCGTATTTCAGATTTCACCTAAATAACTTAGGCTTCTTCTTCCTGTCATTTGGCTGCTTCTTACTTGGAGAACTAATTCAATAACAATACTCTTTATGTGCTTACCAGATTCGCAAAATGGTTGGAACTGCTGTGGCCATAAAGCGCAAGTTACTCCCAAGAGATATTTTGACATTATCACTGGCCATGTTCTCACGGATAATCCTACCACTTGCCCCATCTGAAGTTCTGTTTTTAAGAGGAAACAGATTTTCAATCAGAGAACGACCTGGAAATGTAACAAGGCCTGAAATGATGGCAATGGTTGAATCAGAAGAAATTATTAAGGCAGTTGACGAGTTCTACACATCTGTTATGTTGCCTGAAGTTTCAAAGTTCTTAGAACCTTCAGGATATCCTTGGAAAGAATGGGTTGAAAACTTAGATAGAAACACAGGCATTCCTGATGCAGAATTGGATGAAGTCAGGAATGCTTGGAAAGTGTGGAAGGAAAAGTTTGACAGTGTTGCACCAGTCCTAAACCAATGAGACAAGGTAGATGCTGATGATTGCCAACTTATTTGTCCGTTGAAAATACTCCGAGGCCATACAAGCTCAAATGGGAGAGGTGAGACTGATAGCTTTCTTTAGTTTATGTTCTGTTGGGTGCTTTAACAAAATGAATATAATAAGGCTAGCGTATGCAAAAAGTTTATTGATTGCTGGCTTTAATGTCTGTCATGAACATACTTTTACGGGCTTCAATATTTTTGAAGGTATAATATGGTGAGATATCTTACACTCTAGAATAGGGACTTGATAAGATGCTCTAAGGATTTAGGGAATGGATATGCAGAGTTGCAGGCCAAATTTCTAGTCAACTCAGTATCAAAGCATAATTCAATATTAAAATACAAAACCCCAAAAAGCTTTTCACGAGCAGAATTTAGAAACGGAGATATTGATAGAAGCTAATATTTTTGTGCACTGTGGTTGTATGCAGGAATAAAGGACTGTAAATTCCATCCAAGGAAGCTCCGGTTATTCACTGCTGGTGCTGACTTCTTAGGTGGATCTTCAGGTGTTGATCAGACTTTATTTCCATGGGGAGAGAAGAAAGGAAACCAAACTGCCTTTAGTGGGTCATACTGCACATTTATGGATCTCATTAGTTGGATCTGGATTTCCTGTGCTTTAAAATATGTTTTTGAGTTGTTGAATTTTTGTACGTCTCATCTGCTCACAGCTGTTTCTTTCATAATTTTGACATTATACAACTAATCTGTTTTTTCTTTCTTTTTTGGGCCAAAACAACTAATCTGTTTACCTTTCTATTTGATGCATATTTCGTTTGTGATTTATTGAACATAATACTTTGAATGTTGTTATTCTTCCAGAGCTTATGGTGTTTGATTAGCAATTAAAGTTTATGGTAGTTCAGTTGGGTTTCAGTCTTTCTTTAGGACAGACATTTTGTTGTTGTCCATGCAGCTACTGCTTGATAGTCAACCACTGCATTAAGGGCATGGCAAAAGCTGCCAAGCTGGACCATGTTCCTTTAGTTTGTGTAGCAAAACTTAGTGTTGTCCAATGTGATTTATAACCTGTATCTCTCAAATCGTAAATTCTTCATTGTATGATTTGTGTCATCTGCTGTACTTTACCGAGATTTTCTTTCTGAAGTTTGCACTTGATTTTACCTCGAATTCTAAGGACTAAGCAGTCGGTGGCCTTGAACCCTAGAGTGGAACCGACACTCATCAATGGCCGACAATCATCCATGTGTGTGTGGGCGACTATGCGGCTATGCCTAGCAAAACTCATGAGTGGAACAAAACCAAAATAGGGAGTGTCATGCATCAGGAGTATGTTTGCGTTATTTCAGATTCTTAAAGCCCAAAGACGTGGGAACAGTATTCGTCCAATTTTGCCAAAAATTGGAGTGATGTTATTGTTGTGACCATCTCTTTGCTCACCCATCTTTAAATAAAATTTTCAATGGGAAAATTCTATAGAACCCTCCCAATTTGATGATTACACCCATATAAATCTTTTCCCTAAAATGCACACTTTTTTCCCTTCACAAAATTTCTTTTCTTTCCCCTAAATCTTCTGTAAAGGCAGCGATTAACAATGAGTTATAGTTGTGCAAAGTTTTATGGCCAAATCCATCTTTGATGTTTCTGACAGGGGAGGGTTGAGAAACAAGTTAAGTTTCTCTCTTTTTCACACTCACATACGTTTCAGAGTTGGATATTCAGGTCTCGAGAGGGGCACCTAAAGTTCCTATATTTCCAAAAGGTGTTATATTTATGACATGCGTGTATATACCACCACCACCATGGTAAGTAACGATTCTCATACTCTCAGCTATATAATAAGTCACATGTTCCCTCTAAGAAAGTTAATGAGTTCGAGTCCTAGTATTCATATAGTTTGTGTAAGTTTAGTATGTTATCGTCCCTTTCAATAGAAAAAGTCCTCAAAATAATAAGGCACGTGTTATTCAAATCACCTTTATTGGTAAATTGTTGGCATTCATGAAAATATACATACGAAATGAATAATACTGAACTTTAAGGTGCCTTTCACCCCAACTACATTTTCCCTTTTCCACAAATTTGTGAAGAAGAAACAAAAGTGAGGGACCATGGATTCACATCAAAGTTTGCGAGTGAATATATATATTACAAATTTTCTCTTATGTAGACATTTGGACGTTATTATTTTGTGGACGCCATGTATTTTATACTATCTCTCCATGTTTTCCTCCCTGTTTACAATGGCGTTCACACGGTAATAATGTGCGAACATCCGGATAAAAAAATAATAGTATATATATATATATTTTAAAAAGCAAAGTAAATTCTCATCAGATATGCGCATGTAAGTTGGTTTTAATTATTAATTTTAGGGCTCTTTAGATATAGGCTATTTGTCTCATCCATTCATAAACCAAAACAATTAATAAATCTGTAACCTATATATAATATATATGCTTCAGACAACCACTGATTTGGACGTACAAAAACATTAAGGGAGAGAGGGAGGAAGAAACGAAAAACGGGAGGGAGAGAGAGAGAGAGGACATTAATTCTGAAAAAGGAAAGTAGCAAACGATGAGTTCAAGAATTGAGAGTCTGCTTGCATTATTATTCTTGTTGGGTAATTTCACTCCAGTTTTGAATGGCTTGCAACACCACTTCTTTCACTGCCTGAGCATCTTTCTGGTCAGCACTTTGATTATCCTGCAACACCAAATTCAACAGAAAATAACACAATATTTGATCATCAAACATGTCAAAATAAATTAACATATATATATAGATGCCACGTTTGCATAACTTTAATTGTCTGTTTCAATTGAGTACGTGCAGTGCTATATGTGCTGCATGTATATTATTCTTACATTAATTGTTCCAACTGCTTCTAGAAGAAAATTGTTGGAACAAGAAACCCTAGCTTGATGCACATCAAGGCCTAGCTCCTCAAAAGCTTCCAATATGAAAACAAGCAACCCACTGCAGCTCCTTTCAGCGAACATCTTGATAAGAAAGCCTCCCTCTCGAGGCTCAACTATGAGTTGCTGAAATGAATAAAACCCCTCAATTAATTGTTGAGTTAATTATACACAAATTACTTAAGCAAGGATGTTTGGTGCGTATTCAGATTTTACCCACCAGGAAGGGATTATGCTCCGCAGATGAGCTACGCGCTGCGGCAATGATCTCTTCATTCATTTGCTCCAGTTTTCTCTTTAAGTCTTGTATATACTTGGATGCATCCAATATAATTGAGGTTTTACTGTGCTGCACACATAGACACAAAAACACACGGGGACGAAGGTCAGGTCATAGTCATAGTCAGCCACAGAGACACAATCTTCCTGAATTTTAATTTTTATCCCTACCCTACGAGTAAAAGTCTAAGGAACTAATAATTAGGAGAAAGAGGGAATTCAAAGGGAGAAATAATACACACACACACACACATAATACATCAAATTATATATGGATAAAAAATGAAGTGGGAATAACGAAATTAATAGAGATCTATCAAGGTTGCAAAGAGCCTTAATTTGAAACCAGAGAAATTACAGACTCGGAATTCAGGTTTCAATTCATTCATTTGCTCCAGTTTTCGCTTTAAGTCTTGTATATACTTGGATGCATCCAATATAATTGAGGTTTTACTGTGCTGCACACATAGACACAAAAACACACGGGGACGAAGGTCAGGTCATAGTCATAGTCAGCCACAGAGACACAATCTTCCTGAATTTTAATTTTTATCCCTACCCTACGAGTAAAAGTCTAAGGAACTAATAATTAGGAGAAAGAGGGAATTCAAAGGGAGAAATAATACACACACACACACACATAATACATCAAATTATATATGGATAAAAAATGAAGTGGGAATAACGAAATTAATAGAGATCTATCAAGGTTGCAAAGAGCCTTAATTTGAAACCAGAGAAATTACAGACTCGGAATTCAGGTTTCAAGAAGATCAGATGAAGATAAGTGAAAGAGTTATCTTTAATTTGTCCCACTAAAATAAACAATCCGTGTGAAGGAGGAATAATTATGTGTAGAGGAGAGAATGAGAGAGGCATGCAAAGCCAAGAACAAGAGATGTTTCAGATGAGTACCGCATGGGAGTTAGAGATGGAACGAAGGGATTGCAGTTTCTTGGACACTGGTGCTCTCTTCTGCACCTTGGACACCATGGCTTCTCTCTCTCTCTCTCTCTCTCTCTCTCTCTCTCTTGTTTCTTGCTGATGGCTATCTGTACTTATAAAGTGAAAAAAGAGGTGTGGAATGATTTATTAGATCAACCTTAACTACTCTCTCTCTCTCTCTCTCTCTCTCTCTCTGTGAGATATATAATTAAAGATCTATCTTCATGAATATATACTATTAGAACAAATTGAAAAGAAATATATGTTTTATGTAATACTCCAAAATTATATGTAATCTAAAACATTCATACACAAAATCTGTACATTGTGTTGATGGTGATGGATATTATTATTTTAATCTTTTGCTGTTACAAATTGAATTTATAGTGTAATTGAAATGAGAGCATATGTAATTTTCAACAAAACTATTTGTATCACATTCATAAACTCATACATGCTATAGAGATTGAATCCCATTTCAATTTACTCATTGATCAAAACATATTAATATATATATATATATATATATCAAACTTAAATTGTGAGGCATATACTTATTTTTCAAAATTATGAATTTGGACCGCAAATGAATTCGAGGAAGAAACTATTTCACGGCAGATATATAATATATGTAACCTAATAAATTAATCTTATTTATATTCACTGATTTAGATAAAGATGAGTCCACTTGATATTTTCTCCTTACCCATGAGGTAACTAGCCATCATGGATATGGAAAATTGGAAATGTGGATACATGAAATTAGAAGCAATAATTGGATGTAGAAGAAGCATCGAGAAGGAGAAAGCTAGCTAGGAAGAGAAGAGAGGGTGTGTGGGGACATGGCATCTCTTGGAAATAATAATGGAAATTATATATATACAAGAAAGTTGAAACAGAGATACATTTTGCATGGGAATGTATGTATTATAAGGAGAGCAAGAGTGATCGAGAGAGGGAGAGGGTGGTGGTGGGGTTACGTGAGAAGAAGGAATCTACTCGTGATTGGGACACCATCGAAAGTAGCAAAGGAAGCGTCAAACCATGCTCAGTTTTTGTGCTCTGAATGCCTCCAAACCTTCTTCACGGGCTCTCTCTCTCTCTCTCTCTCCAAAACCCCATTTGCCATTTCTTTGTTTTTACTTAATTCCTTTAAAAGCTGCCAATTTAATATATAGTACTAATGCATGCCCATCAAAACCAAATGTGTCGTATTCTCGTTAGTTGCATTCTTGCACAACCTGCAAATGATACACTCAAATCATAATTCACTTTATGACATAAATTGACCAACATTATTCCTATGGAAAATTTGAAATAATACTGCCAAAACTAAGCTATACACATGCATATATTGCGTAGGGAGGCCAAGCTGATGGTTATTATTTGTTTTTACCATTCATTCATATATATTCAACCATGCTCTCGAGTCTCGACTAAAAGAAACCAGCACTAACCTACCTTCAACTCAATCGTCTTGAAGACCAAATGCAACCATAAACATTCATACAATGTGGAGTGGGCTGTTTATCAAATAAGCATATTTGAGTCCTTCGACTAAAGCGTATTTGAGACCAATATCGATGTAGAATTGGAATTAGAATTTCAACCAAATCAATCTTTATCT